CTCATCATTGAATGATAAAGTGCCTTCTAGCACATAGTCTCGAGCACGTTTTTCCCTAGTGATTGATACTTTAGTGCGTTTGAACACGGGCCCTTGTGTAATATCGACCCCACCCACGATCATGTGAATCACGTGTTGTGGTTCTTCCTACTCGTTTTTTCTGTTTGCATCCCTGTCTCTGAAATGGTTTTTAGCTAGGTCGCTCAAGAATTCTCGAAGGTGACCCTCGTTGAATAGACGGACCATCTCCTCCCTTAGTATTCTGCAGTCTTCGGTTCTATGACCATGTATTCCATGGTATTTGCATATTTTATTGGGGGTTCTTTAGGATGGATCGGTTTGTAGAGGTCTAGGCTATCTAGTATCTTTGATACTCCCAATGGCTGACACAATACCTGATGTGTCGATGCTGAAGTTGTATTCTGATAATCGTGGTGCTTCTGCGGGATCGGCATGTTTATCGAAGCCACATTTGCTCATGACCCCTCGAGAGCTCTGTCCTCAATCGTTCCTTCGATCATTTCGGACGAGATTGAGTCCTGGGCCGTTGTTTCTACGATCTGCATTATATGGTTGAGATAGCCCAAAAGTATAACTTAGTGGTCAAGGGGGGTTCTCTGTCGATATCCCTTTGTGTTCTACCGACGGGCCTATTTGGATAAACTCAACCGGAAGAGGTCCCCAATTGATCAAACTCGACCCTGATCTTTGACTGGTACCGATTATGTACATCGGCCTAGGTTACCGCTAGATATTCAATTAAATTCTGCTTTAGTTGTCGTGATGCCACCGAACTTCAAAAAATTCAATCCATGAGTAAAGGCTTGAACGGCCCAATCGTTTGTGACCCATGGTAGTTCCATGCGTTACACCTGGAACCGAGATACGAATTCCCTCAACATTTCGTTGTCTTTTTATTTCACCTTGAAGAGGTCTGACTTCCTAGTTGCAACATGTATTGCTCCGGTATGTGCCATTACGAAGGAGTCTGCAAGCATGGCGAAGGAATCGATGGAATTAGGCGGTGAATTGTAGTACCATATCATTGCTCCTTTAGACAAGGTTACTCCAAATTTCTTCAAGAAAACAGATTCAATCTCATCGACTTCCAAGTCATTCCCTTTTATTGCGCATGTATAAGAAGTGACATGCTCATTAGGGTCGGTGGTCCCATTGTACTTAAGAATTTCTGGCATTTAGAATTTCTTCGGATTGAGATTCGGAGTCGCACTTGGAGGGAAAGGCTTCTGTACGAATTTCTTTGAATCCATACCCTTTAGAATCGGCGGTGCCCCCGGTATTTGGTCAACCCGGAAGTTGTATGAATCTACTTTCTTGTCATTTGCCTCTATTTTTTTTTCTCCAGATTCAATCCGTTTAGTGAGATCCTCGAGCATTTTCATAATGACGGGACCAGTCCCCGATCCGTTGGCGTTCAACCTTTCCGGCAAATGCTCGGTCCTGTGAAGGACTTCTGGTTCGATCCTACTTGGTGTTCGGTATTGATTTTGTAGTTGTGCTATAACGGCTTGTTGAGCCTGTAACGTTTCGAATATCAATTGGAGGCTAACTCCACCATCTTCTCCGCCCTGCGTACCTCGAACACCTGATCAAACTTCTCTACCTTCGGGATCAACGCCCAAATTTACATCTAGGGCGACATGTGAACGGACATCGACGAGATTTGCAATTGGTACTCCCTCGAGGTCAGCCTGAGGCACCTCGATTCTCGGGGCGACTATATTGTCATTTTTTCCGTAAAATCCGAGGCCGTTGTCACCATGTGTATGCGCTACTTGTAAGTTTGAGATGTTTATCCTGAAAATAAAGATTCTTATGAGAACAAGTGTAAAACAGTATGTGTTATCGGAATCAGTATTAAGCAATCACTATTATCCTTGGCCCACGGTGGACGCCAAACTGTTTACCCTTAAAATTGGATAACAATTAAACTTATAATGAGGTACTAAGGACACGTGATTTCACTTAATACCAATTGATAAATATGAAGATTAATAACATAAATAAACTATAAAGTAAAGCAAACCAGTGTTAGAACGGAACTCAGCTCTCGAGTTTGGATACCCTTGAACAGGTTGATGCAAGAATAATTAAAATATAACAAGCTGATGAACAATAGTATAAACGAGAAAGAGAATTATATTGCTTTTATATATGTGAACAATGTTCTTTACAAATGAATAGAACCCCCCTTTATATAGTAGAGGAATTTCACTTATGGTATAATTCTAATTACAGATTGAAATCCCATGATTAGCTAATTAATCGTTTCTGATTTGATCCATTCCGAGATTTATGCCATGATCCTAAACCAGTCACGGATATCTCGCATTTGTGTTATTGTGCTATCTTCGATCTTGCTCGATGTCTGTCTCATTTGGCTTCGATCGCTACTAGCCNCATGTTATTACATGTTAAATCACACTAATAATGTAAAAAATATTTCTATTATATTGTGTGTATATAGCTTACATTAAAACACACTTATACTAGCAAGTAGCGATGCACATCCGGTCAAAATGGAGTACTAGGTGTCCATTTATAGACTAACCGCACGTACATGCTATGTCATGAAAAGAAAAAGATCGACAAAGAAAAAGATCAAAAGAAACCAATCCATGCACTCATTTAAGGACTGACTTTAGCGTTAGGAAAACAGATTGCCTGTATTTCACACTCACATGTGTCAAACATTTATTATAATAATAATAACCTGAACTTTTCCTCACCACCTAAAAGTAAACTAAAGTAGCTTTATTAAATTGTGCTTTAATTTAAGTACTTTTTCTTTGTATGTTAAATGTTAAAATTATAACGAGCATTGGCCATTCTTGGTTTTTTAAGTCTATATAAGAACACCGGCAGTCAGAAGATGATCCGTAGATCAAACTGAAGCTCACTACACACTTGTACTAAGTCATGGCTACTAATTCCTCTCAACCATTGTTAGACACTCTCACAACAAAATCCTCCTCCTCTAAAGCTCTCTATGTTCTTCTCTCCTTTGTTGCTATTGTGGGCTCAGTTGGATTAGTTTCAATCTGGACCATCAATAGCAGCAGCCCATCTCTTTCTTTGATAGCCCATGTTTGTGATCGTGCCCAAGATCAACCATCTTGCTTGGCCATGGTGTCTGAGGTTGCACCTACTGGTGTGATGGATACAAAAACAGTGGATTTACTACAGATGGTTTTACATAAATCATCGTTAAAAATCCATGAGGCGATCGATTTAGTGAGAAATGTGAACAGTAGGATTAATAATGACAAGGAGCAAGCAGCTCTAGCAGATTGTCTAGAGTTAATGGATTTGTCAAGGGACAGATTAATGGACTCCATGATGTCACTTGGGAACTTATCGACCCAAGTTCATTTTGATGTCCATACATGGCTAAGTAGCATTCTGACTAACCATGTTACTTGCAAAGATGGGCTAAATGGACTGGTCCAGTCCATTATGGAGCCCATGTTGAAGGATTTGATAACAAGGGCAAAGACTTCCTTAGCCTTGATGGTTAAAATGGCACCAGTCAAAACCATGGATCTTCCATCAGTTACTGATGGATTGCCATCATGGGTTACTCCTAATGACAGAAAGCTTTTGCAACTTTCTGCAAATGCCATAAAAGCCAATGTAATAGTGGCAAAAGATGGTAGTGGAAAATATAAGACTGTAAAGGAAGCAGTTGCATCTGCTCCAGATAATAGCAAGACTCGGTATGTTATATATGTGAAAAAAGGAATATACAAAGAGAATGTTGAGATTGGGAAAAAGAAGAAGAATGTTATGCTTGTTGGTGATGGCATGGATGCTACTATTATCACTGGGAGCTTGAATTTTGTGGATGGCTCAACAACCTTCAAATCTGCCACTGTTGGTAAACATCTCCTTTCTCTCTATTGTTTTGACTGACTTAGTACTATCATTTTTGAAAAATGGAAGCTTTGTAATCCAACAAATAGTCCATTGGACAATTTTTGGTAAATGTTTCTTCAAGAAAAGGTTTATGCAGAAAAACCTGTTCGAAAAGCTGGAATCTTGAAGATTTGCGGTTGAAAATAGAATTCTTTAACAAAAAGTCCTAAAATTGTTTGTGGGATAACAGTTTTCTTACAATATATTTTTGGAACAATAGTGTTTCCAAGGATAGATGCTGTGTATCAATTGGGGCTTGAACAACTTTTTGGTGGTGATAACATATGCAACCTCTAATCTTTGAATGTCACCAATGGGCTTTAGGCCGAAGCTATGGTATCTCAATTCCGAATTCAACTAATGAGAACCTAATTTATTTTAATGCAGCTAATGAAAATTTTCTTTCTCAATTGGGGCTTGACTTCTTTTTTAAATTTGGTTGCGTAACATTTTTTCTTAAATGCAGCTGCTGTTGGGGATGGATTCATAGCCCAAGATCTGCAGTTTCAAAACACAGCAGGACCATCAAAACACCAAGCAGTAGCACTTCGAATTGGAGCAGATCAATCAGTCATCAATCGTTGCAAAATAGATGCATTCCAAGACACCCTCTACACTCACAGCCTTCGTCAATTCTATAGAGATTGTTACATCGCTGGCACTGTTGATTTCATCTTTGGTAATGCTGCAGTTGTGTTCCAAAACTCAAAAATCGCAGCACGAAAGCCCGGGAGTGGACAAAAGAACATGGTTACAGCTCAAGGTCGTGAAGATCCAAACCAAAATACAGGAACTTCAATCCAAAATTGTGACATTATTGCTAGCTCAGACCTTGCACCAGTGAAAGGGTCGGTTAAGACATATTTGGGCCGTCCATGGAAAGCGTACTCACGAACTGTATTTATGCAGTCCAATATTGGAGACCATATTGACCCAGAAGGTTGGTCAGTATGGGATGGTGATTTTGCATTGAAAACATTATATTATGGTGAGTATATGAACAAAGGACCTGGAGCTGGAACTAGTAAGAGAGTGAAGTGGCCTGGTTATCATGTTTTAAGTGCTTCAGAGGCGACGAAATTCACAGTAAGTCAGCTGATTCAAGGAGGAGTATGGTTGAAATCTACTGGTGTCGCTTACACTGAGGGCTTGTGAGAAACCTGTTTCATTAATTTGCCTATTCATGTACTGCTAGTGAAGTTTTAGTATGTTTTGGTTGCTGGTTGTAAGCTTGTTTCGTAATAATATGCTGCGGAGTTGTCAGGTAAAGGAGTAATCTTGTTTGTTTTTGTGAATAATTGAGAAGACGCGAGTTCACAATGAGATGTCTTAAAACCGATCAATTTTGTATCATTTCATTTCATTGAAATGCTGCTCAGAAGTTTTCATCCATACTTCAGTATCACCAGTTTTCTTTATTATTTTTGGACCCCCTTCGGGTCATATTCATTGTTTACATTTTTTAGCCATATACACATATAATACATTAATTATACACAATTATACATATAAATTATGTATATATTGTACCTCCACCGGCTATTTTTAGTTTAAGTAGTTAGATGAGCGGCTATTTGGGTTAGTTGTTCTTACAATTTGTTGTATGTAGACTTGTAGTCCACAACTACGGGGTACAAACCTGTCACGCCCCGAACCTAGAAGCGAGACAAGCACCCGGTGCCTCACCTAACTTGGCGTACCAAATTGCGACTAAGGGACTCTGANAGCATCAGTGAAAGGGTCGGTTAAGACATATTTAGGCCGTCCATGGAAAGCGTACTCACGAACTGTATTTATGCAGTCCAATATTGGAGACCATATTGATCCAGAAGGTTGGTCAGTATGGCAAGGCGATTTTGCCTTGAAAACTTTATATTATGGTGAGTATATGAACAAAGGACCTGGAGCTGGAACTAGTAAGAGAGTGAAGTGGCCCGGTTATCATGTTTTAAGTGCTTCAGAGGCGACGAAATTCACAGTAAGTCAGCTGATTCAAGGAGGAGTATGGTTGAAATCTACTGGTGTCGCTTACACTGAGGGCTTGTGAGAAACTTTGTTAATCTAACCATGTTCAAGTATTGCTAGTTTCTGAGCCGTAGTATTTTCAGTTGTTGGTTGTAATGTTGTTTTTCGTAATAGCATATTCTGCTGTTGTTTTGGTTCAATAAAGTAAACGACTATCACTAATCATGATATATTGAGAAATATGGCTTAGTTTATTTTATATAATGATGCTAAAAGCTTTGGAACATAAAAGATCATAAATTGATACTCAACTGCAAATTCTTTATCCAATATATGCATCTGCGATCCACTACTTTTTCTTTCTTTTTAAAAAAAGGGTCAACTCAAGTGATTTTTGCCAGAGACATGGAAATGTATTGTAATGTTAAACACTCCAGCTAGCAGAGAGTGGCGCCGTGAAGAAATAAGAATATCACCAATAAATTAAATGGTGCATACGTTTATATTTCAACCAAACTTGAATTTGGACCTTTTGATCTTAGCATATGCAACTCATCTCACCACACAAGTCTTGACCTGTTCAATCAAATTATTGTATAGTCTTGTAGGAAATGACTCCATGCTTTAAGTTTGCCAGAATATGAAGGCAAAAGACAAAAGTTGAAGTGGTCGCAAATTGAATAAATGACATCCGATATTACAAAAGCAATTAGCAAATCAACAATGTGGTTAAGGAAGCACCACACCAATTCAAATTACAGCAAATGATTTTCTCTCTTCAACATTTCCTTCACATTAACACTAGTTTTCTTTTCTCTTGATCAACATTTTCTCCACACAAATGCTAAATTAGCCATAGTTGAGGCGAAATATGTCATTCTGCACAAAGAAGCTTCCTTCTACAGTTGGAATCAAGTGAAACATCTGCAGAAAATACATTGCAAACAAGATGTTTAGCCTTATTTTTTTTCAAGTAGTTCATCATTCCGGTCAGATAACATATATGGAGGAAAGAGAGAAAGAGAGACCTGGCTAAACCTCAGGGGATGGTCCTCTCCAAGAAGTTGAATGCTACCACTGACAAAGACTATGATCGCTCCGGCAAAGGCCGAAGGTTGAGAATCAATGGTGCTAATCACATGCCTGCATTGTCCAAAGGGCAATGCATTAAGCTTAGAAGAGATATCTTCACTTCCGTGCAACTTTTGGCCCTCAAATGAGAGCATTGAACTTGGTTGATACAGAGTACTAATCGAAGATCGATCATTGTCGAAAAGATTGTAGTAGTGATCCACAAATGCTCTTCCTACCAATTCTAATTGTTGTTCCATTTCTTCTTTCAAATTCTCAACTAATTTTCAATGTCTTATTTAAATTTCAAGCACAAAGAGGGCAACGTTTGAGAGAATATAAGAAAGTAAATGGTTTGGCTATCAAGGAAAGAATATATATAGAAAAAGGAAAATGTAAAGGAGAATCTAAGCTGCTGCATGGATACGCAAGTTCATGAAAAAGGGGAAACAAAACAACAGGAAAAGTCTTAAAGAATTGAAATTCATATGCACCTTTTTTACACAACGAAGGAAAAGGAAAGATGGGGTTGTTAAAAACTAGCAAGATCTACTGAAGCAAACCGACCATCAGGCTTTTTGGCCAACAAAATTTTTTCTTCTTTTAAAGTTTTTTGCTGCACATATATGTGACTGAAGGAAGCGATAGGGTGAAATTGGCTTGAGAATGGGAGCAACAACAGAACGCTACACATGAAATGATGACTAGATTGCAGTACGGGTCACTAAAGATTGCTCAAAAGAATATATTCTTTGCTGAACAATGACCAACTTTACATCTAAAAGTGAAAACACGCTTGCCACCCACTTCCCCTTTTATGCCAGAAAAAAACATAAGGTGGACGGTGGACCTCAAGAGCTTAATCAGCATATCCCAGATCAAAGTTAATGATATAACATTTCATCTTTCTCTATCTTTCTTGATGGTAGAGTAGTTCTTAAGCAACATTTCTTAAAAAAATATGCATCTAAATATAACTTATATCACCATTTTCAAGAAAGACAACTACTCTAATTCGTTTTTTCCTTACTCTGTTTATGGAATCATTTTTGTCAATAGCCATGTCGAAAGGTCTCTCTGCAACAATAGCATAATATTGTGGCCAAGTATAAGAAGTCATAAAGAAGACTGATAATCTTATATGATCGCCGAGGTTTTGGAGCTATTAATAAAAAATTGTTCAAATGAGATTAAGATAGTGGTTTCGAAACAACATAATGTTACACATTGGTTCCCTCGGATCTTATGATGAACAATCAATAAGCCACTGAATCCCCCTATATGAAATGCTTATAATTCAAGTAATTTTATTTACTTCCTCCTTGCTATTCCAATTGAAAGTGTTGATAAGTGTATAAGGAATATTTGCTTATCCTCCACTTTTACATCCTACAACAAACAAACAACAACATACCCAGTATAATCCCACAAGTGGGGTCTGAGGAGGGTAGTGTGTACGCAGACCTTACCCCTACCTGGAGAGGTAGAGAGGCTGTTTCCGATAGACCCTCGGCTCAAGATAAGGCCACTTTTACATCCTAACCAGGGGAAATAGCACTTATATTTCCTCTTTTATATCCGGTCTAGCTATCTATCCCTTCTTGTTACCATCCAAGGAGAAATATGTTCAGCTAACAAGAACATTATATCAGCCTTATTTTGCGCCTTAGTACCTTAAAAACACACATTAGCTTTCCTCTCTTTTATAGAAAGTTCAATTTACATACTCAGATTTATGACAGAAACAAGTTTCCAGAAAATTACTAGTAGAAATTTGGGTTAGTAAGCAAAAGAAGGAAGTATTAGTCACAGTTCAGAAGTAAAAGATCCAAGGACCATCCTTCTCTCGTCTAGGACCTTTCAAAGTACTATATGCAAAATTGCAATTAATTAAATGCAAAGAAATTTGTTAGACATATGGAAAAGAAAAGAGCATGTCAACAACTATTCAAGTTATCACCCCTTTTTTGCTTTAATTGAAGTGTAGTGTACCATTTTCCACAGCAAATGTTATGTCAAAGTAATCCAAGATATGCAGCATCAGAATCAAGCAGATAAAATTCCTATGCCACTTACATACCGATTTACCTTCTGCGGGAAAAGAATATGAAAGTGCCTATTCCTCAAAACTCAAGAAAAGCAACTGCCAGGCTCTAAACCTCAAAAGTCTATGTGATCCCACCAAAATATATCAGCTGTTTCTGATTTTAATTAGTCAACCTTTTATACTTTCTACTCTTCTTTTTCTCCCAGATATCAGATTCTTTGCCTTGTCTGACAACTGATGCTAACTTCTTTAGCTCTCCAAGTGAGGCCGCTCTCCATAATCATACCATATGGTTTTAATTTGCTAAAGACTAGTGCTGGTGGTTGGAAGGTAAATATCCCTTTCTTGGTGCTAATGTCTGCTAAAAACCAATATAAATTTATGGAAGGCCTCTCACCTCCTAGGGGTGGCAACTCCAGGTCTTTAACTATTTACACAATAATTACCCTCATCTTGCCTGAATTATGATAAACAATTTACATATTAGGCACTTAAATGGATGCTAATAAGTGGTGATCACAGTCTGTGATGATTGTTATTCCCGCCAATATTGCTGTATTTGTAAATAATAATTCTGCAAAATATAAGTTAACGTAATGAAACAGTAATTAATTCGAGCCCA